AATTGTTTTGGAATATATTTTATTTTCCTATATGTTCTTGAAGATTTTATGCTGAAATTCTTATATTGTTTGTAGGGTTTGTATAACCTATATTTCTTTTTGTATATTTTCTTATGCTTATTTTCCTTATGACAACCATATTATTGTGGTAAATCTATATTTTTACAATTCATGTAAAATTGCTTCCTAATTTGTTTCTTAGCTTTTATTTGATTACACTATTGTCTAAGTATATCATATACATGTTGAATTCTATGGCCTACTGCAATATCATTTTTTCTTTGGATGCTTTTGTCATTCATTCCAAATCTTTTCTCCGATTGATCCTTTTATTTTTGTCATATAAGTATCTAGTAAATTAATATCACTAATTCTACATGTTCTTTCTAAATATTTAAAGAAGTCTATTGTATACTCAGCTATATATTGTAAATCACAAATTTGTAATTGTTCTAAATTTCTAATTGCTCTTATTTGTTCTTATTTGCTTCTGCCATCTAACCTATTATGATCTAAAAATTCCTGTTTAATCAAAGTAACAAAACCATCAATGTTAAAATGTGTTTTAGCTGCCTTATGCTGTTCTGGATTTTGAACTTTCCATGACTAAAAATAATCAAAAATTAAACCATCTAAAATATGCTCAAAGTAATCTAACATATTTTGTGAATTACTAAAATCTAGCATTAATGCTACATGTACGCAACATTTCTATCATCTCGCACTAATTCTTTCTTAATCTTGTGGATCTACATTATCTAAATTTAATATATTTCCTGCTATATTAATTTGTTCTAATCCTCTCAGATATGGAATCCTATTTTTTCTAGGTGGTTTTTATCATAGTTTCTTCAACATAATCTATTCCAGCTTGTTCTTTATATTGTTCATTTATTGGTCTCAAAAATTGTTGATCAATTCTACCTGTGTATCCTGGATTTTGTACTCCTGATGTACTACTTTCTTCTGCTGGATTACATTTTGCTTTCAATTCTAATAAATTATTATATTCTTTTGATCTTAAAATATGTTCTACTCTTATTTCTACGATTAATTTTTTCATCTCTTCATTTGAAATTCTATATAGTCCTAAATCATATGTCTTATATTTTTCTAAGTATTGTTCTTCATCTAAATGATCAATATCTTCTATAAATTTATCTACAATATGGTCAAAATTTTGCTCAACTAAATTAATATCTAAATTATCAAAAGCCATATAAATATTCTCATTTTCGATCTCACTTTCATCCTCTTCTATTTTTCTAGTTGCTTGTAATTACTAAACCTAATTGTTGCTTGACTTGCACTAGTTTCATATATTTGAACTTTATCTGGTTGTCTATTTATTGCTACTTGTAAATTAGGTAATGTCCACTGAGTTCATTCTAAAAAGCTATTATCTACGAGTTTTGCTTCTATTATATTTACATGTTTATTACCAAATGTTTGAACTAAAATTTGAAATTCTAAATTAAACTTATGATTATATCTATCAGACACTTTACCAATATACATTAAGCTAATACACAAATTTTTATACTCTCCTTTCATATTATAATTTTTCGTTCTTATGCTTACTTTAATATATTTACTAAATTCATTAGTTGTCATAACATAATTTGGAATACATCATATGATTGCTAAGTTTGAACTTAAGTATACTTCAGTTGTTGCTATTGCTGCTTGTTGGTGATTATCCCATCTATCATCATATATGTATACTAAAGCTTTTGTGCCTACTTACGCTCTGGTTAATCCTGATATTCCAATTAATATTGTTCCTATGTGAATCAGACTGAAATGTGATTTTCTCAAATGAGTAACTGATTCTTTACTAATTAAATTAAGTGTAACTTCTTTATCAATACAGTTGACTTCATGTTGGCTGATGCTACTTACAATTCTGCTTCTATTTTCAAATAAGCCTAATTTATACAAATTATATTTATTTTTCTGTGTTCTCTCAAAACTTCTTCTAATAAATTCTTATGTTTCTTCGTCATTTGGATAAATATCTTCAGCTCTAACTACTTCTTTTCCTTTTCTCCTAAAAAGTTCCATTTTCTGTTATCAAAAGGATTTATCTTAGGTCTTCTAATATGATTATTTGTACTTAAAGTTAAATTTTCTAATTTTTCTAACAAAGATGGTGGAAGCGATGAAGATGCTTTATGTAAGACTTGATTTATTTATGCTATTTGTTCTTCAACTTGATCTAATTTTTCAGCCAAACTTAAAACTAATTGAATAATTAAATTATTTTGCCTAATGGGAATATTACTACTGGCTACTTGTGTTGAAAAATCTGTTAAACCTACTGGTTCTTTATCTAGCTTACTAGTTTCTTTCAAAGTTTGGATATATTTTCTACTAGTTCTAGAATCGGTCATTAAACTAATAATTTATTTACTTTATTATGCAACTTATCTACTCGTTCACTCAACTCTTTTTGCACTAATTGAATTTTTTGAACTTCTAATTTTAATTGCTCAACTATTTCTAATAATCTAAGTTCTACCTACTTAGGCTTACTATCTATGAGATCAACAAACTTTTTTATCTCTCTTTTGCTAGGAAACATTTGAATATTTTTATTATTATCTTCTAACTGAGATGTAAAATAATCTAAATTTTGTCTAATTGTTTTTATGAAATCTTTCTGAAAATACTCTAACAACTGGTTTAACAAATAATTATGCTTATTATTTTCTAATTTTATATTTTCTGCTTGACTAATAATAAGATCTACAATACTATTAGCTTGTGGATTTTCTTCACTATGCAAAATATGATTATGTTTTCTCAATTGAAAATAACAAACTAAACTATTTTGGTCCAAGGTTATTTTTCTTTTTTGAGGTTCACTAATTTCAAAATTAAGATAATCTATCATAAACTACAGTCTACCTTTCTCTAAAATTACTGCTAACTGGTTTCTTAAAAACTCTATTTCTTCTCTCAATGTCTCTAAAACTTGATATGTCTCTAAACTAGTTATATTTACAACTAGTTATATTTACGAATAAATGAAGGATGTTCAAGATAACCAAGATAAAACTTATGCTTCTTCAAGGTCCTGCTAATTCTTTTGGATATATATGCTAATCTTCTCTTTATGCTAGTTATAGTTGGGTGTCTGGGACAATAAATACCTAGTGATTGTGGTTGACAAGGTCTACAAAGACAATAGTATATGTTGTTCATACAAAATAAACAAGTGTGATATCAGTTGTTTCAATGACTTTCGTCCTCAATGTACTTTACTATTATAATTATACTATTAAAATTCTAAATTTGGCTCTGATACCAGATTCGGATAGCAGACCCTGTTAAATAGTCGAATGGCCATTATAACAACTAGACATAAAACCTTGCACATGGAATTCGACATGTTTCAGCATGACGACCACTCACAGTACAAGTATAAGGCCTTAAAGGCTGAACTCAGAGGTACCTTGATTAATGTCCAGTTATTTGTATGGCAAACATTCAGCTATAACAAAATACTCGAACAAAATATGATCATCAGTTTAACAGGTTAATAATATAACTATAATAGTGTTTCCCTATTTTGGACTAGAAGTCTTAATTAAACAAACACACTAAAGAAATAAAAGAAAGTTTACTTAAGACTAGTACACTTGAACTTTTATTGATATATAGAATGTTTGCAAAGAAGTGTTTACAAAGTATGCTATGAAGGTTTTGGATGCTTGAATGTTTGCAGGTTGAAGTATGATATGAGTATTGTGTTGAGGTGTTGAGATGTTGAGGTGGTTTTTATAATGAATGGAATTCCTCTTATATAGACTGAATGAGTATACAGCGGTATAAAATTTTTACAAATGAATGGTGTGGACATCTCCTTGGTATTTGTCACTTTGCTTCTACTAATACTGAAAATGTCAACACTATTTCTGGAACGTGGTCTAACTTTTGCTTTGTTTGATTAATGCATGTGAACTTGCTTGTCTCCTTTTGCTTTGCATGTGAACTTGCTACATAGTTTTTCTCCTGGAGTTTTTGTATTTGCTTTGATGAAGAGCATGTGACTTCTTATGAATGTTGGAGATTGGGATATTTTTTATTTGTTCTGTCAGAAGGTTTTCAAGGGCAACATTGCCATTTTTTGAAATTATACTTGTTTGTTTCTCTTTTCTAGTTGTTTTTCTAAATAAAAAAGTATTATGGTATTTCTTATAAAAATAGTGTTTAAAAGTTGATGCTTTCCTATTAGGTTTTTGTATTATTTGGTGAGTAAGTTTCTCTCTCCTCATAGTTTATAAATAAAGGCACCAATACATCTACAAATTCTCTAAGCCGTATTCTCTCATTTTCTCTCTCTATTGCTGCACCTCCCTCTCTCCTTTCAGTAAATTGCTCACAACACGTTATCAAGCATGCTTCATTGTCACTCTCTCTTAATTGAACCACTTGCTTCTCCAATGTGTTGATCAATTGTTACAACCACTTGCAGCACTTGACGAGTTGATGCTTCTTTATGCCCTTAGTTTTGGGCACGTCTCCTTCTTTGTTGTTCTTCTTCTCGCTCGTTTTCTTGCTCTTCTTTCTCTTGCAACCTACTTAGGTTATCCATTGTTGAAATAACTTTCTTTTTTAAAAAATCTATGAGTTGAGAGTTGGGAGGATGAAGTAGATGTGGTAGTTTAAAGGGCTTTTATGGAAAAAAAATATGTGGAATCAGTAGATTGGATAAGAACACGTAATTATCACATTCCGGCCCGGACCTAAATCAAGGCGTGTTGGACGCCTTGATTTAAGTCAGGGTGTGTTATAATACTACATAAATGGTCGATAATCTTAACAAAATCTTAGCTAATGTTATTAATGGATAATGACAAATGACACATCGAAAGTGGTTAAAAATCTTAGGTAATAATGACTCGTAAAGAAAACCCAAAAAACGTAAAATAAAAAATATATTTATAAATAGTAATCGTTATTGTCCATACTCTTTCTTCTTTGAAAAAGGTGAACTTGCACAAAATAATTATTTTTAGAGGACAAATCTCAATGCTTGTCCTTGGCCTTGCATTACCCCAAAAACCGGTGAACTTGCTCTAAGAAAAATGCCAAGCAAGTTCCAGAAAACCCACAAAGCTGCCATTCTACTCTGAACTGCCCGAGACCTCAACAGAGCAAAAATCAGAGAGCCGCTGAGAGTCAATTTCTTCGCCTTCGGCATGTCAAAACCCAACCACCAGGTTATATATCTGCCAATTTTGTTGCTCTTATTTCCTATTTCTCCACTGCTTTCGCTTTTGAATCTTTCTTGCTGCAGAGTTCTCAATTTTTACCATGAACTGAAGTAAAAGCTTTTCTTTTTGGATTATTAAGTGCCCAGAATGTTTCACTGTAATTTTTTTGCTGTAATTTAGTCTCGTGGTATAAAATTTTTTATGGGTATTTGCAAGTTGGTTATTGTGTGGACAATTTTAAGGTGATTTATTTACTTGGAGTGTAAAACCTAGATAAAATTTGGAATGTAATAGCAGAAATATATGCTTGATCATATGGGTTTTGGTTTAAATTTAAAAAAAATGGAATATGGGTGAGCAATGGAAGGTGAATCTATATATTCACCATCTAACGGTCAGATATGATTAAATTTGAAAAGGAATAGCAGAAATATATGCTTGAGATTCATATGGGTTTTGGTTTAAACTTAAAAAAAAATTGGAATATCGGTAAGTAAATGGAAGGTGAATCTATACATTCACCATATAACGGTCAGATATGATAATTCTTTATTTTGGTTGCATATATGACCGTTAGATGGTAAATGTATTACATAAATGCATGTACCGTAGCCATGTCCGGGAGGTAGCATGGTGTGAGAATGTGGCAATGCAATGTGAATTGTGATATGTAAAGTTGTGTACTTTTGTATATTTATATATGTGTGTGTGTGTTACTGATACTCGGTTTTGAGTCGTTGTTGGATATGCACAAATGATTTCTGCAAACTTCTGCCATATGCTGAATCGATAACAACCAATGTCTCATTATTTCATTTTAACAAATTCTTCAGAATAATCTAGAAATCAAGCGGCACGAGGATAATATTAAGTTCCTTCAGAATGAGATAAACTGCTTAGGTGAATCTATACTGGAATTGCAAGGTAAACGCCCTCCCTCTCCTTCTAATTATCCATCCAAATCGCAGTTTGAAGTACGATGCTTCGGGTACTTTCTGTAATAAACTAGGGTTATTCATTTTGATTTTGTCGAAAAGAAAGTTCTGTCACATTGAGTAAGTTCCAGCTCGGCCTAGTGTTAAATTAGCAGGACATAACCGTGTTCTACACAATTCATCTGTTCTTTTCTGTCTAGTATGTTCTAGATATGACACTACCAAACCTCGACTGTCTTTCCAGTGAGTCTTGCAAAGCATCAGTCGGCCAATGGTACTGTAACAACAAATGAAAACGGTCCTACTGCTGAGGAGGAAGACCAAATATTGCGGCACGAAAAATCCGCGGCTGGCTTATTGTGCAGGCTGAAACTGTTAAAATCGCAGCATGCGAGTCAGGCATTGAATTTGGCTCTGACAAAGGATGTGCTGGGTATTGTTGGCATTGTTGCCACACTTGGCAGAGTCGAGGATGACAACCTTAGCAGGTCAGATTTTCTTATTATCCATTTCTTTCTCCTGGTATAAAACAGAACTTTTTCGCTGGATTGAGTCAAAATTTCTTCACATTATATTCCTTGACTGGCTTTATTGATCGTCTAAATTAAAGGATTCATGATAACGGATTAGTAGGTTGCATTGTCGAGTTCATTCCTGCTTTAGGTTCTGCTACTGCTCAAACTTACTGTAACTGATATAATTTCTGATTTAAAAAAGAAACATCATTGGTCTTGTTTAACCAGACAAATAATAGGCCAAACTATTACGTCAGGTGCATATGGGGGCCTTTTGAAAACTAATGGCCTGATTTTATGATTTAACCTTTGACCCATGAAGGCCACTATTTACAACCTTGTCTGATATGTGCTTCCCTGTAACTTTAAACTAGGCTTCTGTCGGAGTACTTGGGACTGGAAACTATGCTAGCAATTGTATGCAGGACAAGTGAAGCCGTTATGGTTCTAGAGAAGTATGATGGGGATGGGACAGTACTCACCAGCGCTGGCATACATGGTCTAGGAGTTTCTATTGGGAAGAGCATAAAAGGGCGGTTTCTGGTCATATGTCTAGATGATTTGAGGCAAGAAACCCGTTCAACGTTTTCTTTCAAGTTGCTATTACTTACCACATTTTTAACCGTTGTTTGTTTTTAGTCCATATGTTGGGGGATTTGTAGCTGATGATCCACAAAGGAAGCTTGCTCTTCCCAAACCACAGCTACCAAATGGGGAGTGTCCGCGCGGCTTTCTTGATTATGCAGTGAACACGATCAATTTGGACGGCAATAACTTAGTTAATGTTACCAGCAGTGGGCATGGTCTCAGAGAGACACTATTCTATAGTCTCTTTTCTCGCCTCCAAATATACAGAACCAGAGCAGAGATGCTTCTCGCTCTCCCATGCATAAATCATGGAGCACTGTCTTTAGATGGCGGGATTATTAAAAAGAGTGGCGTGTTCATCCTGGGAAGCAGGTTAGTTTGGAATTAAAATAAAACTCACAAAACTTTTGTCTAATGGTAATACCGATTTTTCTTATAAAATTGTTATCTACTCTCATCAGCAAAGATACAGAGATCAAATTTCTTGCAAAATCCGGAGAATCTAGTATGACTGCAAACTACGACGAAACTGAGGATATGATCAAGAAGCTGAAGTTCAAGCGAAAGCATGTTGCTGAGGATATGCAAAGAGAACAAGAATTGTTGGACTTCGCAAAGGCAAACCTGGCACAAGTGTGATTCCAAGAATTTTCCTTTCCGCTGGTACTGCCCCAAGGATGTCTTGCAAACTGTAACATATAATTCATGAGCTTTTATCATTGCAAATTTATTCATGTGTACCACCTTTATAGACTGGATGTTACTCGCTAACTTTTTCTTGTATCGGTTATAACAGATGCATGCAGGCCTAGATGGCAGGCATCGGCAGATTGGTCGGTTTTTAGGCCACGACGGAGGCATCCGCAGATCGGTTGGATTGTTTTGTTTTCAATTGCTGCCTCTTGTGCCTTCTTTGTACCACATTGGAAAAGCAGCAAAGTGTGGATTTTCTCCGTCCGTTGCTTATCGGTTGGCTTGAACCTGTACTGTGTTCATCCTCAATCATGTTTGGTTTGTAATCGTATTGTAACCTTAGAAATTATGGATTCTTTTTCCATTACCATGAAGAATAAAAACATACACTGGCATCGGTATTTTTCGCCTCAAACTCTCTAATACATCCCACACTTACTTTTTCAGTAAAAATACCCCATGCTTACTTTTCAGTTAAAAATATTTTAACACACGCGATTTATTTGCCGAAACTACCTTCACACTCCACACACGCCTTGAAAAAATATCTTAATTCTGTCGTTTGGTTTCCTTATCCCGAGTAGAGGATTGTTACGGTCAGATAAGTCCAATATAATGCATTACTTGGCTTTTCTTAAGCAAGTACCATGTGATAATCTCCATGGATGATGAGTCTGGAGGATAGCATCTTCAATCTTCCTACTTAAAACCTGAATGAATTTGCACCCCTGCCCATCTTAAGAAAAAAATAGAAAACATTCTTAAATAGTTTATAAATTGATTGAATTTTTTTTTTAAGAAAAAAATATACGTCATCCAGAGCCTCTAAATAGTCAATTTCATATTCCATTCGTTTGAAAGTAAGCTTTTCTTCATTACTGTGTTTGTGGTTTTAGTGATTAGGGTTTTGTACTACAATGGAAGGTGTGAATGGATTTGAGAGCTTGAAGAAAAAGAATATTAGGATATAGGTTATCTAACTTTGGGGTGTTTTTTTTTTTTTTTTTTTTTTGAACAAACGATATTATCGACACCATGTGAGAGGGGATGAGTTGAGCCTTACAATGGGTTAGCAATAATGTACTTCAAATTTATCTTTGGCTAGAATCGAACCTAAGACCTCTCACTTAAATGTGAAGAGGAATACCACTAGATCATAGCACTAAGTGACAACTTTGGGGTGTACTTAGAAAAAGGAAAAATTGGTTTTCAAAACCTTATGGAGTCCAAATGGTCATTTCATATTCGAGCATGCAAGTCAGTCGCAATGAATTTTTACGTGGGGAGTATTCAATAATATGTGAGATCCCAATAAAACAATCTTTTTTTAAGAAAAAATTGATTGTATGGGAGAATTTTTTTTGTTTTAATTTTATTATAAATTAACTGCATTTGAAATATTCATACATTTTTTAATAGATTGCTTATTAGTCAGCAAAAGATAATACAAATTATAGCCATATACTATTGTTTTGACCTAATTTTACACCATCGGCCCAAGCGATCGAGGCCATTAAGTGAGCATGGTTCCCGACCATTGGATGGAGAAGTGAGGATAATTTTGTTATTAAAGGATAATGTTATGATTTTTTATCATAATATTTATTTTTTAATAATGGTTTATCTCGACATTTTCTTATGAAAATAATTATCTCCAAACAAGCAGTATAGTTCGAATAGGCTTGGAATTCTTGTTATCAGATTGTGCGACTAGAATTGTCGAGGTGTATGGTCTTCTTCTATGCGCGGGATAATACCAATGGAGCCACACGTATCCTAGATTGATATAATTGTTGGCATAAGAATTATATGCTAATAATTAGCATACTCTTCAGGGGATAAACACGCATGCATTGATGGTTTGATTCCATCAAATCCTACGGCCAAGATGATGCGGAGATTTTGATGCAAATTGATGGTTTGATTCCATCAAATCCTACGGCCAAGGATGTGGAGATTTTGAATAAAGCATGGTTTGATTTGGTTGGATAACCGCGTACAATTATGATGGTTCTAATCCCATCAAATTGGCATTGACCTAATTTAAGATAAGGACTGGTGGGAGATTAATCTGCACAAGTCATGCCAAAGGTCAAATACAATTCTTTGGAGATTAAGCCACGTCAAGCATGCATGTCTCTATAAATAAAAGTGATTGTGCAACGTTCAAAAGTCCTCCAATTCAATACACAACTGCCCTACGCAAACTCTCTCAACAACTTTGAGATTTTTATTTTTTCTTTTCGCTGACACATCTTCCGTTGGCACCAACATCACTGTGAAAGCAACCGGTGATATCTTAAGTCGGCATAGATAGCTCTGTCGCCGTAGAATCAGCCGGTCTCGCAGCATCTTCCGTTGGCATCAACAGCACTGCGGCGAGGACGGTTGGTTAACTATCCAAGTCTCGGTCGAGAAGGATTTCCGAATCCTTACTGATTGAGGTCATCTCATTAGCTTTCTCAGCGAAGTGAGGTGTTACAGTTTACTGAGCCCGGCGCATTGCACGCCAAGTTATTTTATGATACTCTCATGTGGGATTTAGAGTTCGGCATTCAGACGGCCGAACCACGTTTACTATTAAGACTTATATTCGCTTTGAGTATTTGTGTCCTTACACCTTGGTGTCGATTTGACGTGAGTTTACTCTGACGAATAACATCACTGTGACCGAATCCGACGACGGCGATTCGTGAATTTCGTAAGAATAGCAGCCTTGTCTTCAGGTTCGAGAACCCAAGAGGCCGAGACGTGTTCTTTCCTCGGTCGCAATCGCAAGACGCAGAAGTCAGCCGCGCACCCAACGCAACATCAACAAATTTTACTCATCGGCCGACGAGTTGGCACGCCCCGCATTTAACCGAAGGACGTAGTTAGCTCATAGATTACTCGGCCTGCGCACCATATAGACTTGGTAGTTTTTAAGGTCAACAACTATCTATACCCAAACATGAATATCAAGAACCTTTGCTGTATATTTAAGAAACACACATTGTCTGATTACTCTCACGGTCACGGGGCATAAATTACAACAAAGATGCAAAAACATCAACAATCCTAACTATATGCAACATTAACTAAAAAGATCATGCCAGATTTCTTGGAAATTATCTCTCAAAATTGTTTTTTCTAACAATCCGTGAAGTAGTTGGTTTTTTATACCTAAGTAACGTAGTTTAATAAAATTCCCATACATCCCTCCTCTATTTTTCAGCAATTGATTAGAATTCTTAAATTCTTCCCTGAATTAAAGTTTTCTTACAATTGTAAGAATTTGTTTTGGAATAACACAACACTCAGCCTACTCTCATTCCGCTTTCATCGGTGGGTGGTACTATCCACACGCTTGTTTTATCTTTCACACTCTCAATTTCTTATTGTCGAATCAAATAAATTGAAAATGATCAAAAGACCTAAATTAATTGATATATGTGAAAGGTAATAAGAGGTGTGTAAATATCATCGCTCTGTTTTTAGTGGTTCGACTTTCACATAGGAAAAAACGACATGAATTTTTAGTGGTCTTCACACGAAATTGTGGGTATTATGGTTTGTTGTGAGTGGATGAACGTTTTATTGTATAAGTATATTTGTAAATATTTTATTGTTGTAAAAAAAAAAAAAAAGTATCATTATTGTCACTCCAAACTTTCGATATTTAGAATAACAAAAAAAAGACATTTTGGAGTGCCAATAACATTACAAAAAGAAAAAAAAGAGGGGGGGGTGGACTTGGGCCTTTTCGTGATGCCCATTTGGCAAAGCCCTCATGAAAAAAGCGAAGCAAACCCAGCAAAGACCGTGTTCTTGGCCAATCGCTGCTTTCTCTTCCTCTCAGGTACGTGCGTGCTTTTACTACATAGCTCCATGATATTGCGCAGAGCGGTAGACACGACGAACTAAGCGTGGCTAACTATAATTTCCTCGCACTTTCTTTTCACTTCCAATGAACACAGATGCTTAAGTTGTTTTTTTCCGTGTGAATTCCCGATTTCCCTGGTTTTTAACCTGATGACCATAACGTGTTTGATGAATTGCCTGACTGAGAACTGGGTTTTATAATTTATGCATCTCTCTCACTCAATCATTCATATTTTTAGCAAAAATGTCGCACTCAAATGAAGTTTAATGTCTTCCAAAACGTTAGGCAACTGATGTGAGTATGATTTTGTCTTTCTACATTGTTGAAAGGCCAAATAGAGTTTGATATTGTTCCACTACTTGCAGCTGGAATTTGAAGTCGAGTTGTACCAGAAATGTTTCTTCGGAGGCTCGCGGTATCATCTTTCTGCTCGAGAAGGTTTTTTAGTACTAACAGCGGTAACAATGATCTTGCAAGAACTATTGCTGAGCTTAATAAGGTAATGTATTGTGTATGCTTCTTATTTACGAATGCTGAGTTACGAAAATGAACTGCCTTCCTTTTTCGCTTTGCTATTAGATTCAACCAATTACGCCCACGGTGGCAGACAATGGGGATTGGAAAATGAAATCCACTGCCATAAAATTTATCTTATATGCAGAACTTCAATTTGAGCTTTCTTATTGATCTCGACAAGTATTTCGTAGTTGTTCTACTCGATACCTTATGTCGAAAACTCTCTTTTGAAGAACTTCAATAAGGCATCTTGCAACATAATTCCATGTATTAACAATATCCTGGTTTCAGGAAATGGAATCGGTATTTGGTGAACATCCAGCAAGTGGACCCCCAAGTTTTCCAAATAACGATTCTATGGCTCAAGAACCCCAATTAGCACCTCAAGAAGAGGGCGAAAACGAACTTGTCCTAACTCACATTGGCAGTACAGGGGAAGCGCAAATGGTGGATGTTTCTCCCAAACAAAGCAGTAAGAGAACTGCCATTTCTAGCGGCAAGGTAATTCTTGGAAAGCAGGTGTTTGATTTGGTTGTAGCTAACCAGATGGCCAAGGGTGACGTCCTTAGCGTGGCGAAAATTGCTGGAATAAGTGGAGCAAAGCACACAAGTAATCTCATCCCGCTATGCCACAACATACCACTGACCCATGTTAGCATTAATCTGTCACTAAATCCGCAGGATTTCAGCGTGGACATTGAAGCGGAAGCCAGTTCAACAGGGAAAACAGGGGTTGAAATGGAAGCAATGACAGCAGTGAGTGTTGCTGGGCTAACAGTGTATGATATGTGCAAGGCTGCTTCGAAATCTATACAGATCACGGATATTCGACTCGAGAGTAAAACTGGTGGGAAGAGTGGGGACTGGTCCAGGGAGGAGTAATGCTGCAGTGATGTGTGTGCAGAAGATTATAGTGCAGGATGTCACTGTCTGCGACTTAATGCTTTTGTGCAAGATGCCACATTGTAATGAAAGCACTCCATTTTTGGGTAACGTGGAGTATGAATTGGGTATCTTTCCTTTCTCAAGTGAAAGCTAGTT